GGTCATGTGTTCGGTTAACGATTTACTATTGGAAATCTCTTGGATTATTCCATTTGATTCAATCAGAGTTATGAATGAGTATCGACTCTCGAAAACTGTTGAAGAGTCGCAAAAATCAAGCACCCCACATGTGAGAGGCAAGGGGACTCACAAAAATCAAGCACCTCGAAGGGAACAGAGAACTACCACGTCCACGTCGTTGTTCCTGGGTAGCGCTAAGAGTAGTTCATCAATGACTTTGATGGTCCATAACTCGGACCCCAGTGGGCGGATTGTGGACCACAACCAGTGTTTCGTAAAGGGCTTGAAACCAGCTTTCTCATCCCATGGTGAAAAACTAGGGGTTCCATTTAAAAAAACCATCGTGACCCCTGAATGACCTTCAAAATGACCTTCCAAGGATTTTTCAAGGTCAGTACCATACTTCCCCCGTGTAACCCTAAACTTTTCATACGAAACATTTTTCTCTATCCCTACTAGTTTTCGAGATATTTGACTGGATCACTTCAGATGGTCCACCCTGTATTCTTCCTTTAATATCCATGAAGCACATGTTTGAGTCTGCGGGTTTTGGAGATTGAGAATTGCGAATTGGAGATTAGAATTTAATCAAATGATTTGATTAAATTTGAAGGATACATATAAAACTAAACTTATCTGATTGTCAAATTCTAATTTTCAATTCGCAATCTTCAATCTTCAATGCGCCTTTCCCAGTGAGAAATGACAATGGAATCGATGTCGAATCGACGTCGATTCGACGTCAATTCGATTTTGACGTCGAACGACATCGATTCGATGTCGATTCCATTGTTATTTCTCACTGGGTTAGGCCGGAATCAGACTACACATTGAAGATTGAGATTGAAGATTGAAATATTGAAATATGGCCAATCAAAACAATAGAAGCTAAAATTTCTTTGTTCTCATTGGTCCAATTTCAATCTTCAATCTTAATTTTCAATGAGTAGTCTGATTCCGACCTTATACAAACGTAAATCGATACACAAGTATATTTTAAAAAGAAAAGAACTTTCTCTTGTAGTCTGTAAAACTCATTGAAAAATGAGTGTCAATTGCCGCAGAATGCTGTTCTCGCGTTACGTCATTTCATGTTTCTCTCCTGGTGAAAATTTTAATTTTTCTGAAGTTTTATATAAATTTCAGAATTTTTCAGAATATCTGAATTTTGTGACTTTTTAGTTTCTTTTTTTTATACAAGTTGAAACACTTCAAAAGGATCGAGAAAGTCTATACACATTCTTTTTAGAATTCTTTACATATGCGAATTCTAAAATATTTTAAGATTTTTTAAATTTCTTATATTAGAATTATTGATAAAATCTTACAAAATTGCGTGCCTCCGTTTCATGATTCTTTTACACTTCAATTCTGGACTTTGTAAAAGCAACTTCGTTGGTGCTTCATCTTATTTTATGTATTCTGTATACAAGTGCGCAATAAAATTTAAAAAATAAATTAAGAATCTCAGAATATTTCAGAATTCATGTATATTTCTAAGTATCTTTAAAAAATTATTATATTTTTTGGAATAAAGATTCTATTATCTGGATTGAAGATTTAAGATTGCGTATTAATTATCACGCTGACTCTCATTCGCCGTTTTTTGGATTTTTGGTTGTTATCTCTAAAAAATGTTTCTTCAAGAATTTTTATACGAATTGAAACATTTTTTAGAGATACTTAAAAATATTATACGTCTTTTCTTAGAATTTTTCGTATATATATAAATTTTAAAATATTCTAAGATTTTTAATTTTTTAATTTTATTGCGCACTTGTATACAGAGAGAGAGAGAGAGAGAGAGAGAGAGAGAATACATAAAATAATAATATAAAAATTCTAAGAACTGTTTCGATATAAAAAGTTCAGCTACAAGGAACGATTCTCAAGGCACCGAATCGCCTGGTGCCGTCCCTGCCATTAATATATCCGTCAACCCGTCGACCCGTCTCGAATCTCGATTGCGCGCGGGGCCATCTTCCGCGAATCAACGGGAGTACTCTTGCCGTTCTCGCGCGGTATTTCTTCACGATGGCACGCGGGAGATCGGTCAGCGTGCGATGACACGCCCGTGCCGTCTCGCAGTGAGCGTGTAGTGACAAAGCCAGTCTTGCGCGGATCCGCAGTGCGGTTGTACCCGTTGCGCTTTGTCTCGTCTTGTCGCGTACGTACGTATGTACGCGAGGACACGACAGACACGCGAATTCTCCACAAAGAAAAGGACGGAAGGACGGGCGGAGTGAATCAAGGAGTAAACGAAGCCAATGCGCCGCGAGGTTCGGATCAGTGTGGATCGCGCATTCGTGCCTTCGTGGGTCCGACGTTGCCTAGGATACCCTGGACACCGTGGGATACTGCGCGGCGAGCGAGGTGAGAGCGACGACGATACGACACGACACGATTTCGCGAATGTGCGTGAGAGAAAAAGCGAGCGAGCGAGCGAGCGAGTTGTTGTCGAGAAAGTGTGTCTGACTCACGGAGAGTCACCGGGGGAAGAAGAAGACTCGTGGGAGGGTCAGAGTGAGCCATGAGGTATGATTTGACGCATTGACACGCGCGTTATTTTATTTCCTGGCCGAGAAAGACGTCCATGGACTAGAATAAGGCGTGCACTTCCACGCCGTATCGTGACGTTGGCCGACGATCGCGCGATATCGCGATATCGCGGCGCATTTCACGTCGATTGCGCTCGTCCAACTTTCTGTTTACGTTCCGCGACAAACAGCGACGAGGGATCAGGCGAGGCGGATCGAGAATCCGGAGGACACGGCGTGTTTACTCTCCCTCGCGGAATCATCTGTGCCTCCTCTAAAGCGCTGGACTGCGTATTTTTGAGCCGGTTGCGGCAACGCCGTCTCGGCGCCGTGCGCTCTGCCAAGATTTAATTCTGCTGTCGGCACCTGAGCCAGAGTTATGACACGAATAACCCTACGCCGCGAAGAACAGTTAATTGGAACTAATTAGCGCGTGCTACTATCGACCATCCTTTCGTTTCCTCACTCTGATTCAGGCGAATGTAAATCACGTCACGATTGGACTGTTCGCCAGTTAATTTTCGCATCACGGCATCGACACGAATAATCTTTACCGGTGCTGTTTTTCATAAGTGAAATCGTTCACTTAGCTCCGATTCCACAAATGTAAGACTAACTCATCTTTTTTCAATTTTTGAATTGGAAAAAGATGAACAGTAAGTTGAACCATAGATTAATGTTAATATTACATTTGTGAAACCGGGTCTTAATTATATCAGTGCCTTAATTATGGGTTGTAATTTTCTTTTTGTGTACTGACAGAGAAAGATGAAAGATTTATTTAAAGCAAATCAATTTTTTCCTTTTTGCAGGAAATTATTTGTAATATAAGGGTGGAACCTAACAGATTCAACGTCGCCGCCATCGACCCTGCGAGAACGCGCTATTAATACGGTCCTGTGTGTTTTTCATCGATACTGCCCATTGCCACACGATACTCCGTCGCTTCGTCGCATAACAGGTCGATCGCGCACGAGCAAAATCACGCTCTGTCCCTGAACGTGGCTAGGAGCGAAGTCCAGAGACTGGACCTTCCACTTCTCCTGGAGTAGTCCGAGGACGCGGCGGTGACGACGCACGACCGTCCGTGACAGACTGTGACAGCGCGGTATTATCTCCGCTCTGCGTCCCGCCACCGCGGGACCGTCGTGTGCGTGTGGCGTTTTGTGAACTTGTGCCCAGCCACCCAGATGCCGTCTAAAGATCACCGCCGAGACTTTCGCCAGCCACGTGATCGGCAAGTTTGATTTCATCTATGTTTATGTCAACGTGCTAGCCAAACTGAGTTCCTCGTCATTCATAAATTGGCAGAACTAATGATTGCTCTGAAAAACTGGTTTCTCTCCTCTTGTGTTTCCTCATTCCTAATTTTGTTTGCTAATCAAATTTTTGCATATCTTAAATGCGGAAGAATATTCTGCTTCGATTTCGTCTCTTTTAGAGACCTTATAACGAGCAATTTAAAACAAGAGTGAAGAAGAGAGAAAGAAAAGAGTATATACTGTCTCTTCATATATGCTCATTCTAATTTATATTTACTTATCTTATTCATTCTGATATTTTACTGAAGTTGCAAAAACAGGCTAATCAGAAATTTATCATCTCGTGGCCAAACTTTGTTATAGAGTCTCTAATCTTTTTCATACTTAATGTATTTCTATTTTGGTATTTATATCTTAACTAAAAATGTTAACTGGAACATGAATGAGGTAGATAAAGAATTTTAAAAGAACTATCATTCGGACTATGATCCTCATTAATATGGCATTCTTACAAATCAGCATCGGTAGTTATGATAATAGCAATGATTCATCAGTTAATATGATCAAATTAAAGGCAGTGATACGACGTAGAACTAAAAGAAAAGTGATGCTTATACAGCACTTTCCACTGTGGTTAGAGAAAAACAGCTCTTGGCATTTCTATAATTTTAATGTTTATAATTATACAATTTTTAATATAAATATGCAACTTATCTATATTAAATAAAAAGCTTTATCTTAATATAATGTAATTAAACAATTTTTTAAAACTTATAGAATTTTTGTGTTTAACGAAGATACAAATAATGTCTTTAATGAATTTATTTATATATTAATAGAAATAATTTTTCTACAACTCTGAAACGTGAATATATTTCTCCTTATGTGAAGTATCCTACATTCTAAATTTAGATACAGTCTCTGTGCTCAATGTATATTTAAAGTATAAATTAGATAATGTAACCTCTTAGGGAGAAAATTACTGCCGAAGATAGACCAATTGGGGTCCAATTGTTGTGAAGTGTTTGTTCTGTAATTTTTTATACTTTGTTTTTTTATCCTTACATAGTATTTATGATGCATAAATATCAATATTAGAATAAAATTATAAATGAATGCATATTGAGATATATAAGCTTTCGCAATTGAGCTTGCTTGTTTTGCTGTTTATTTTAAGGAAGAATCTATGAATCATAGCAAGATAAAAATTTATCATAAGTCTGATATCGTCTATACTCCGTTGATATTAAATTTATCTAATAATATCAAAAAATAATCTCTCCCGTATGAGATAAATTTTTTAATTCTCGATACTAATTATTAGAATTGTATCTTTTGCTTTTTACATCTTAAAATGATCAAATATTAATTTATTGATTGATTCTAATAAAAGTAGATTAATAATAGCAACAGTAATGACATGACCATTGTTACTTTATAAAATATCATATAATATTGTACTACTTTTGTATTTTACATCATCCTTATACCTGTAATTTATGTTCATAGGTTCAATTTGAACTTATTGAAACGAAGTAGATAGATGACAACTTTCTTAGAACAAAGGTATGGCAAGCTTGATGGTGAACACCTCTAGTAAAAACAGTTCGCGCAGTGGATCTCCTAGTAGGACAACTTCGACGTCTCAACTGCAGCAGCAACAACCGACAGCAAACTTGGATCATACTCCAAGATTGCGTAATGCCCCAATGTAAGATTCTATTAGTATAATAGACATACATACAATTTACTATTACTGCATGTCATTTAGTATTCAATTTCTTCTATGAATCATACAAAATCTATTTACATATGTATATATGTATAATTTACTTATCTATTAACTTATTTTACTATTCTAAATTTTAAAATTTGTTAAATAAAATTTAATTTTTAAATAGATTAAATCTGTTTAAAAATTAAAGAAACTATAATAATAAATAAATATTTGTTAAATATTTGTTTCAGTTCTCAAGGAGAGGGTAGCACAGGCAGTGGAAGTAGTGGTGGTGGCGGTACCGGAAGTAGCCTCAACATGAAAGGCAGCAACAGACAAAGGTCACCAGGAAATTTAATCCGCACAGGAGATGCCATGGATGAACCAAGTAGTACTTCAAACACTGCCGAACCAGACGAGTTTGTGCCAAATGTTCATCCACCGACTGATGACGAAGGAGTATGTATTTCTGACTCATTTTAAATACCTCGAGTCTAATGAGGTATACGATAATAAGTGTTCAAAAACAGCAAGATTGTTACTTTACCTAGATCTAATGTGTATATGCAATCTACAGCACGTCTTTGTGCTCTTATATAAAAAGAGTTACATAATATTGCTATTGTGTATACGTTAACTAACATAATAGGTTGCAAAGTCATCAATCACTAATATGTAGTCAAAGTTATGAATTTAAAAATAGTATAACTATATTTTAAATAATAAGCGCGTATATTTTAAATAATTATATTAGTTTCGTTTATTTTTAGATCCTTTAGTCGATAAATAAATTTAAAGATCTTACAATTCTCTACGAAAAGAATAACAGTATAAATCGTTTTTTATTTAAACTGCGCTATTTATTTATTTATTTATTGTTTTTAGTTCTATAGTTATGGTTAACGTTATAGTTTTTATGTTTTTTTTTGTATAACTTTGAATGAAAAATATCATCAATACAATAATTAAACGGCTTCATCCACGTACACAAGCTGAATTTAGTGCAGGATCATACAATAATCCATATTTATTATAATTTATAATACAACCAAACGTTTCGGTCTGTCATCAGACCATTCTCAATAGTGTTATATACAATTATTAAAAATTTTCGCAGTAAATTTGAATTTTTACAGACTAAAATCACTCAAGATGTCAATATACATATCGCTGTCAACAATAATTAAGATGTAATTTTCGAAGTATAGAAAAATATCATTATATTTTTATAGGAACAATACCACACAACCCAATCGTTCCTATCAAATGGTTCTTCTGAGTTGATAAGCGATGATGTCGACTCTAGTGCAGCACGAGTTCGTCAAGCTATTGAACATATTCAAAGCAAAATTGCTAAAACGCGAGAACAGATAAGAATAGAACAAACCACGCGGGATGGTAATATAAAACTTTTTAAATTTAGTTAATGTACACAAAAACAAAATGTTGTTATATGTCATTTGTTCTATAGAAAACGTCAATGAATATTTGAAATTGGCCGCTAATGCGGACAAGCAGCAATTAACTAGGATTAAAACGGTATTCGAAAAGAAGAATCAAAAATCGGCGCACAGTATTTCACAGTTACAAAAAAAGTTAGACAGCTACACAAAAAAATTAAGAAATTATGAAATGAATGGTGCACCGACAAGTCATAGACAACCGAGGGAAATGTTACGCGACATGGGACAAGGACTTAAGTGAGTTATACATAAGTGATTTTTTTAATTGTAATTATATCTCGAAAAAAATACTTAAACTTATCACTGAATAAGATCCATATAAATATACATATATTATATCATATTTGATAAGCGTTGAAAGCAATATTTTTGGCTAATTTGGGCTTGTATTCCAGACATGTAGGAGGAAACATCAGGGATGGAATCACTGGTTTTTCAGGGTGAGTGTTCATATAAAAATAGATCCCATTCTCAAATATGCTGAAACTCTATTTTTATGTGGTTAATTCATCACTTCGTTTTAGAACTGCACTGCCATTAATATCCTTCCAATTTAAAATTAATACAGAATATATTTTCTTAATTATTTACGAGAAATTTTTTAAAGTACAGTTAAGTAAAACGTTATACGTTTATTTATGTTTAATCATATTTTATTGCAGAACTGTAATGTCTAAACCAAGAGAGTTTGCTCATCTTATTAAAAACAAATTTGGAAGTGCCGATAATATAAATACTTTATCACGTAAGTAACAGTGTCAATAAATTTCCAATGAATTTTACATGATTCAAGCTGAAGTATAACATGCTACCTGGTTAAAACAACAATTTAAATTGATAAATTAATAAATGCAATTTATTTAAATGCAAAAAATAAAATCGTATAATTCTTACAGTATGATTCAGATAATCTATTCTTGTCATTTCAATTTATTTAAAAATGTGAAATATATTTAGATAAGAAAATAAATATTTTTTAACGTTTTTGCTATCATGGCAGTTGAGAGTAGTAAGTAATGTGTTGTCCAAAGAACGAGAGTTACACTCACTTTATTATATGCTTCATGCACAGTATTCTTATTTTTTTTGCTGCTTCAAGCTTCTATCTTCTTTACAAAGAAATAATTAATGATAATATATTATTGTTTGTAAAGTATGATTAAAAATTAGTTGGCTTATATACTATATTTTTTGATTAAAATTTATGATTAAAAATTAGTTGGCTTATATACTATATTTTTTGCTTTCAACTGTGCTTATTAAACTTCTATTTTGTTTTTTGATGCAGAACAGTTACTCGATATAATTTTACCACACATTATGTTGCATATATTTATTTAACATTATATTATTATATAACAAAGTATTAGATGATTTACAATGGCTTCTATAATTACACATTTGCCTTTCTTTATTTACTGTCAGTTATCCAATACTCTCTTGTAATAATGCTAAAATATATAATAACTAATTGTTTTACTACTATCACAATTTAAAAAAATGCATTTTATATCGTGAAACGATTGACCTTTTAAAAAATAAAAAAGGTACAAGACAAATAAAACAGGAACGAGACTTAACTATTGTTTGAGAAAACTGAATAACATACTAACTTTAAAAATAATATTACTTCAAAAGGCCAAGCTTTGGTATTGGATAACATTCTAACTTGCCACCTCTGTGTCTCTACAGATGGCTCGACTTTTTATGTAAACGATACACCGCATGCAGGTAATGGTGATAACGCTAGCGTTGAAGATGATAAAACTCACCATGGATCGGCTACGCTTCCGGGTGGATGCAGTCTGGGATCTACCCAAAGTGCAGCGGCTATGAAGTTTCCATCTGAGGAAGGATCGGAGTGTTCTAGCGTAACTAGTGAAAGTGGCCCTGGTAGTAGAGGACAGCCGCATACATGTCACAGTAATAATGCAGCCTTGAGTCTCAAATCTATTTTTGCAGAACTACAGGAACACCGGGAAAATCTTGATCGAATGAGAGAAAAATTAGATAGTGTAAAGGTTTGTATTTAATTTTATTTAAATATATCCGGTAATTCAAACTAAAATATATTTTCTAACTAAAAAAAAATTACCTGCATACAACTATTTTCACAAATATTTGATTAATCTTTTTTTTTTAGACATTACAGCAGGAAGTGACATATCTTTCTCATTCCCTCCAAGAAGAACGTTTTAGATGCGAACGTTTAGAAGAACAGATTAATGATTTAACAGAATTGCATCAGAACGAAGTGGAAAACTTGAAGCAGACTATCACAGATATGGAGGAGAAAGTGCAATATCAAAGTGAAGATAGATTACGAGATATACATGAGATGTTAGAGAGTTGTCAAACTAAAATTTGTAAAATGGAACATCAACAACAACAGCATCAACAATATGTGACATTGGAGGGTTTAGATAATAGCAATGCGAGAGCGTTAGTTGTAAAATTGATAAATGTAGTATTGACAGTATTGCAAGTTGTTTTGCTCCTTGTTGCAACGGGTGCTGGTATTATGATGCCTTTTCTCAGAACTAGGTAAGCTTATTATTGAAATATTTTTTGCTCTTTTATTCTTTTGATACCACTTTTTCGTTTTACTTTCCGCATTCTAGAGATATTAAACAATGACATTTAGATTTTTATTCTCCATCATATCTATATTCATTTCTATTAAATATCTATAGATTTCTATGCTATGTAAGTAGAAAGTTAAAATGTAATGTAATTGTGCAATAACGGATATATCGTTTGTATGTATTAATAAATAATTTATGTATTTCTTTTATTCATCTTCATATTATAATATATCGCAATCACTGCAATCATCTGAATTTATTTTGCACATTCATTATTTTGTTTTGTTTTCGCATGTCTGTTACAGCTGTACTAAGCCTCATTGTTTCATGTGCAGGGTGCGTATATTAACGACTACATTCGTTGTACTGGGCATAGTATTTGTGTTAAAGCAATGGCCTGAGGTACATGACGTTGGCAGCCACCTCATGCGCCATCTCAAACAGACGCTCGCCATGAAGTAGCATTGTAAGTGAATGAAATTTTCACTTGGTGCTTAATTACCGTTAACATGTAGAGGCAATGTAATGTGGTATTATATTTTATAAAAGTAAATAAAATGAAAGTTCCTAAATAATTTATCTCAGAGAGAGAGAGAGAGAGAGAGAGAGAGAGAGAGGAGAGTGAGAAAAAAAATTTTTATGTAAACAGTATTTATTTTAGGGTGGAATACTTAAATTTAATCAAACCTTGTGATGAAGCTGGGCTAGATTGGACACATTGAATGAAACCTTGCATCCATTTATCAGTGTTGTAGCACATTGGAGCAATAATAGTATGTATACGCGTAAATAAGTTTGTATTTTGGGTTGTTTAAATTTGTTGTAATATATATGTATTTTTGATACTATTATTTAAATTGACAAAGCTATTTTGCTGTAGGAAAATAGGTGATTTTCAAATTAATTTGTACAAACTTTCATTAATTTCATATAATTTATATCTCTTCATTTTTGGTAAGACTTTATTTTTCACCATCGTGACATTAGCGATCTACCAGTGCTGAAACAAATGATATTAGAGAAGCTTCTATATTAAGACACGAAGAATTGTTGAAATACTACACATAGTGACACTGCTTGACTATATGTAGCACATTATTATGGAAATTTAATTTCAATTAGCAGTGTATCTCTGCATTAATTTCTTTGATCAAATGTAAAAGTAGTAGAAAAAATATCGAGTGAAAAAGTGATGCACACCAGGATATTGTCTTCAACCTCCACCATCGGTCCAGTTACAATTTGTCGATGTACAATCGATTTATTTTAAATCTTGGATGTATGTGTCGATAAGTCAAGAATTTGTAACATCCAAATCGTCCAAATGCTAAACAATAATGTAAGTTAAGACAGAGCTCTTATATCACTACAGATAGCTGCTGTCCGGCATTGTATAAAGTATAAGGTAGTGCGTACTGTATATTTACTTGTTATTTGTAATATTCGATAAAAGTATAAGTTCTCTAGGAAATAAAAGCTTTTTTAATTGTTGTTGCATTGTATAAAATAGCTAGTATATAAATTGAATCACGCATGCAATGAAAGAGAAATGAAGAATTTCACTGAAGAAACATCTCTCATCGTTGAAAGATTTTTGAAAAATCGTGAGTACTAAATTTGGACATAAATAAAAATGTTACATATACATGTGCTGCTACATCCGATATCAAAGGAGGACCAACCGTCTCTTTCCTCTTATCCTACGGTACGATTTACATCGCACATATTATACATATAACGTTAAAGTTATAATAATGAAGACGAGAGTGATTTTAATTAATCCAATGAGTGATTTAATCATCAAAAAATCATAAATTTGCATGTATATTATAACGAGCATAAAGAATTGATCCATGACAGTTAGCTGAAATGAGAGAAAGACTGAAGGACTACATTGCTGTATAATTATGTTTACTTTAACATTGGCGCTATAATTTTAAGTGTTTAGTACTGGAAATTATAACATTAGAATATAATACAAATTTATGGAAATGAGAGAAGTACTTGATACATCCTAAAAATAGGATGATTAAAATAACAGCAGCATTCAGAAATAAGACTTAGCACTTGATTTGTGTTTCTTCTTTGTATCGTTACTATTTGATAACAGAGCATAAATATGACTTTTATATTCACTATGTTATAATACAATTTTCTAATTTTTACAGTCAGGATGATTCATGTCTAAGCACCATTATTACTCAAAGCAAATGCAGCACGATATACGTTAAATAATGAATTGTACAAATGAAGATTTTTATCTTATTTAAATCATCATGTCGTGCTGCTTTCGTCTTGCACAGAAATTTTAATTCTTATTTTATGCTATATGTGTACAACAAAGTAATAGTAACAGTAGCTTATAATTAACAGTTCGGTATCTGTGTCAGTTTACTGACATGTAACGTATATAACAGCGGAAATCTATTCAGAATTTTATTTAAAAGCTATCAGTAATTTTGTACAAAAGAAATAATTTAATGTGTCTCGTTGTATTAAATATTTTATGTTGACAATATATGTTGTCGTAAAATTTTTTACTAATTTAAAAATTGCAATGTGAAGGATAAGAATGTCTGATAATTGAATAGCAATTCATTGCATGGAAATTAAAAGCGTGATAAGATAATTTTATGCTATTGCGAAGAGATATTCAATTCATTCCTGATCTCAAAGCAAATGAAAATTGAACTGTATATTCAACACACCAGAAATATTCATTTTTTCTCGATGTCACAATCGACTATCCAATAAATTTCTCACATTTACATTATCTGCATGGTACTATTTTGTGCCAGTTAAATAATCAATTCTTTCTTCACAGAAGTTTGAATATTTTTCAATATTATTTTTCATGTTCCTGTGGTAAATATTACATTTCGGATAAATCGCTGTGATTATGCTAGGTTTATATATAAGCTTAATATTTAAGATGCAGCTTTGGGATCAATATAATCACAATTGAAAAATACCACAAAAAACGTATATGTTGTATATATAGAAATTTTTCTCAAAAACCATGCACCATCCATTACATGTGTAACATTTGAGACAAACGAAAACGTATTGGTTTAACCGAATATCTCCGTTAATATCTGTTTTGTTATATAAAATACATGTAACTAATCTAAGATGTAATTCTATTTAATCTTACATAATCATAAGTAGTCAAAATATATATAGGGTGTTAATTACATACATTAATGTATATAGCGTTGTCTTATATTTGTAAAAATTTTATCAGTGTGACAACATTTTGACTATATTTTATTGGTTCTCCGTTTATATATAATTTCTTTAAAAAAATACATAAAAGTGGATATATCCTTTCCATTATATCATTATATGCTACATATGAAACACCCTGTATATTTATAATTTTAGATCATGGTGCTTTGTAATATACGTATTTAACACTGCTAGGAAATTAGAAAATTTGTTCATATGAGCGACCACCGATTTACTGTGGGCCCCTGCACGCTTACAAAATATCAAGCGATACGTACAGAAGGAAAACTGTATTAAAGTAGTAAATAGTGCTCCAAATCGAAATTCTAAGGGAGTTATTAAACAACGACGAATGTATTTTGTACCTTATTGAAACGTCGCATAAGTTTCTGTTTTTCTACTTAAAAAGCCGTTTACAATTTTATATGTATTTTATATTTACGAAGCCACGACGTGTCACATAAATGTGTATTGTATAATTTGCGGTCATCAATTGATGAATCCTGTTAAATAGTTTGTTGTTATCCGTAGCTTAGGGGCCCCATATGTAGATATAGTGATAGGCGACAGAATTATTAAATAAATTATGTCATCGATGCCTTGCGTAGGTAGTTAATGTCAAATTATAGAATAAATATTCGTTGTCAATTGTAGAACGATATAGGCAAAGCCAGCAGCAGTTATTGTAAAGGTTGTTATTACGTACTCATTGTGCATATACAACAGCTGCGTTCAACATATATATATGTATATGTATATATATATATGTATATATATATATATATATTCAAAATAATAAAAAGAATATTTGGAAAAAAGAAAACTGAACATACATAAATTTATATATATTCATCTTTCGATACGCCGATACTTTCTACATGCCCATTGTCAATGACAATGTTATTGCTGCTGGTAGAGTCAACTGAGGTACGTAATAAACAGCCTCTTCTGCAATATTATTTCGTATTGTCAAAATAAAGCGAATTTTCAGTAAACTCAATTACATTCAATTCCACTCGACCTAATTAATTAATTTTCTTTGAATATTAATGAGTTTCGAAGATGATCCGTGAGAGAAATTCAATGTAATTTCCAGAGTACATTTAGGAACATACGGCTAACTAAAAACGCATGTCAGTGTGGAGCTTTTTTATATTTTCTTCAAAGACTTTGTTAATAATAATATGACATTCATCACAATCTTACAAATATAACATTCAATTATTTTATCATATATCACAATTTCTACTTTGTGTAATGCAGAAAGCTGATTTATTGAGATGTTTCCTGGTAGCTGTATAAAAATATACAATTGTTCATGATAATTATTAATTATATCTATATTCTCTTGGATTATTTTGAGAGGATTCAGAAAGTGTTCGATTATAAAAGCATTGTCATCATTAAATAGCGTTTCGTCATAAAAGCATATCAGCCTTCGATTTATTAAATATTATTTTACTATTAAATAATAATGAATAGATATAGTAGTAAATACTTATTTACTCTATTATATCTATAACAAAATATTTTGTTTTTCTTACAACAACTTTTTCTATGATAGGTAAAGATTCAGGAATATATAAAAAATGTAATCTAATAGATTATAGAATTTTCTTATGTGCAAATGTGTATGTATGTGAACGGAATAAGAAAAATCATACATTTTATACAATCTTGAATACTCGATCGTTAATACGTTTTTATATTCTTACGTTTTGATAAAACTTATTGTTTAAATCGAAATCAAGTACGTAAATGATATTTTATATTATCATCATTACCTGAAATCCATGCTGTTCGATAATGCTGCTGAATTTATATTCTACAATAATGCGCGATTATAACGCAATTTTATATATATATATATAAAAACTTAAACGAATTTATTATATATATTAAATCCATTTATATATCGTAAAACTACAAAAATGGATAATAAAACAAGTTATCTTTTCATTATTATTAATGATAAGTCGTTACCTTTTAAAATCTGTTATATCTATCTTTCGAAAAAAGTGAAATATATTTTTTAATATAAGCTAAAATATTACTATTAAATTTAATAAACTTGCTATAATTTTTCCAAAATTAAAACAACGCGCGTTTATTTGTTCATGCTAATCTTCCTAGAGTTTCGTAATCAGTTTATTTGTTCGTTAATAAATAAATATTATTTTTAATGTTTCGGAAAGCAATATAGACACTAATATAAAAAATTTTGTATTTACATCTGTAATTACAGTATGATGTTACGAAGAAAAAAGTTAAGTGATGATTAAGACTATCATGATCATTATAGAATATATAAAATCATGTTGCGTCGCTCTAATTCAATATAGCTTTCAATCTTCATATACTTCATTCGCAAGAAGTATACGTTGCTTGTAAAAATATCTTTATATAAAGTTTTTGAAAATGTACACTGACAGAATACACTATGGTGATGAAAGCAGTTCTTATCTAACAAATGCCAATGAAAATTTCGTAGCACCCAAACTGCGTCCTTGACTTGAACGCAGAAAATTCGTACGTCGTTTTCCTTCATAACTTCAATCTGCAGTGATGTGAATCCCATCGTCTGTATCTCTGACTATAATATCGGACGAGAGAATAAGTTTGACCTCGGCATCTTCATTATGCGTCACAGTCGTATCCTTTTGTACAGCATTCGTTATGTGATGTTTCTTTCTGTGAGACATCATAGTCGACCTAGACACGAAAGCCTTGCCGCAATCGTCGCATTCGTACGGTCGCTCACCGGTGTGTAGACGCTTGTGAATTGCCATCGGACTAAACTGCGTAAACGTTTTGCCGCAGACGTCGCACTTGTAAGGACGCTCGCCCGTGTGCGACCGTCGATGGCAACGTAGCGCCGCGCGTCGAGCGAACACCTTCCCGCATATCTCGCATTTGAAGCTCTTCTCGCCGGTATGCATGGTCGAGTGGATCCTTAGATCAACCCGCGTGAGAAATCCCTTGCCGCAGACCTCGCAAAGATACGGCTTCTCGCCCGTGTGAATGCGCAAGTGCGTGTTCAGGTAACTCTTGCTGACGAACATCTTGTTGCACACCGCGCATGGGTATTGGCGATTGTCGGTGCCGGAGTGTATCTTCTGATGACTCTTGCAGAGGCCCTTAGTGATGAAACCGCGGCCGCAGATCTCGCACATGTACGGCTTTACGCCTAGGTGACGATTCTCGTGGTCCAATAGCGACTGCTTCGTCTTGAAATTCTGACTGCATTTCGTACACGAGTACGGTTTCAGGTCTGAGTGTACTCTTTGGTGTACAATGAGATAGCTTTTGCACTGAAATCCTTTGCCGCACGTGGAGCAGTTGTAGTCAAATTGGCCTGTGTGTGTGGCCGTGTGCTGCGCGAGGCCGATCTTGCTGCGAAACGCCTTCTCGCACGTCGTACATTGAAACGGTTTCTCGCCTGTGTGCTTGCGCATATGTTCCTGTAGCTTGTAATTCGACTTGTACTGCTTGCCGCATTCTGTACACACCTTCGCAGTCCACTTCCGTCTTACCGTCGACTGTTTCTTCTGCCCTTCTTGATTGTCATTGCTTTCTTGCAACGACACTGCATTTAATTGTACATCCTTCTCCTCCTTATTGACTACTTCATCAGTTTTATATACATCGCATTGCTCCTTATGTAGATTTAATCCCTCGACACTAGTAAAATATAGGCCGCAGGAACAGCAGCAGAAATGCTGCTCAAAATGTGCGGCTAGATTGGTCGTCTCCAAAGCTGCTTCGTTGCAGAATGGGCACATGTACCAGTTAGAACCGGTCTCATCTATGGTAGGGTTGCTAAGCGTAGACTCTAATAATGCGTGTTTCGTTCTCTTCGTGTATTTAACCATTATTTCGCAATGTACGCCGTTTATCTGACTCGTAGATGGTAGGTTCATGGAGTCCACATGTTCGTGAGTTCCATTTTCGTTTATACATTCTTCTATTTCACTTTCCGTTTCAGCTTGAGGAGAGACGAAATTATCTACTGGTACCTGAATTATAAATCGAAATAGATATAAACAAAATTAAATCATATTACATAATTATATTAAGGGAGGTTTCGCCTAAATTGGGCCAAAAATTAGATAATATTAAAAATTGTTTTATTAAAATTAATTATTTACTACGTTGTTAATATGAAATATGTTCCGCCATCGAAAAATTATTTTAAATTGGTAGGCATGATAGCTTGTCTTTATTTTATCTGAACCAAAAAAAAAAAAATAAATAAAAATTTGAACTAAATATTCTTGAAATGTGAAAAAAATGCAAAAAAGTCGATTTTTCCAACGAAATTCAAGCGAAACTCTCCTTAAACAATTTTTATTTTTATGGCTATTTTATTTACTTGTGTGATTCTAAATTAAAAAGTAATTAATTTTTTCTTATAAATTTTGTCCATTATTCAACATATTTACATTATTTTTGAGTATGTGCTGTGGCTCTTCCGTGGTTAATCTATCTTGCAATCTGTGGTATTCCTGTTTTATTGGATCTGCCTCGTATTTTACATTTTCACAGTAATGTACTATTTGCTCTTGGCTCTGATCTTCAGGATTAATAGAGGTAACATAATTTATCCCTAATTGACTTAAATGGCCACCCAGGTTTCCCACTACAGCAATATCACTATCCAAGTGCATTGCAATTTGATGGTTTGAAACCTACAAAATGGTTCGCAGATCATAAATTAAAATTCGAATTAAAAAAATAGAACGATCTTAAATTATTCTGCAGCATAAACATTAGCATTTTATTTTGCTTTCGGAAAATATTAAATAAATTTCATACTATTTAATTATATAATAAAATAGCATAATATAAAAAATATGTTAGCGAAATTTTAATATGTACATTGTTGGAAGAGATGTCCATATAACATTAATTTTAATTAATTATTCTTTTGTATAGCTAATATTATTAATTTAAATGTAAGGAATCAATGAAAATTATCTAACATCACATAACATTATTTTTAATCGGATAAACTATACAAATAAACTATCTCACTTATATATGCTAGATTTACATAGTCATATCATACACAAAATAATGATTATAAATGACTTGTCTGATTTACAAAAACAAAGTAGATAGAAATTAGTTAATTACCTCTCGTATATGTTCATCAACCATTCTCACGGTATCACCATCTAAACAGTCAATCCCTTGTATATCTGTATCTTGTTGACCCATTTCTTCCTGTGTAACTACTTGTTCGCCACCAGCCAGATCCATTTCGTCCATTACTTGCATCGTGTGTATGGTAGATTCTGTAGTTTCGTGAGCTACGGCTGAATGGCTTTGTACATTTTCATTATTAATCTGTATGCTAGTCAGGTTTCTCTGAATTGTGCCCATGTTATTCACGCTTGCCAAATCGTGCTCGGATAGATGCACAATCTCCTCTTTGCCAATTTCCTTCAACATTTCCATAAACATTCCTTCCGTGTGTAGACATTTCTCACGGAAATCAAACAACTGGTCCAGTTTAAACGCACATTCTTCACAGACCACTTTGGGCAGTTGATCTGTCAACGACACCTGAAATTTGCAAAATTATAATATATAGTCCTAACAAGCATTATTTATCCAATCTTCTACAGCGTAAACATTAGCATTCTATTTTGTTCTCGGAATTAAAATATAAAATAAATTATTTGCTATTTAATTATAATAAAATAGCATAACAATAAAGATATAAATTGAATTAGTAATAAGGCTCGAAATAATAAATATATAAACAAGATCAGTAGAGCACCGAGCCAATATAACAAAAACAAGATTTTAGAAAAACGAAGTAATATATTAAAGGAAAGTTACATTTTAAGAGATAAAAAAACACACAAACGTTTCGACGCCGATCGGGTCATTTTCATTGTTGATAAATTATTAAACGTTAAAGAAATTATAAACTGAACAAATAATATTTGAAAATTCGCTGAAGTATGTACACTTTACTGTTAAGTCTAATAAAGATATAAGTTAGCAGAGTTTAAATACATATATTTTTACAAGACACTCATATATAATGTTCATTAATTCTAATTAACTATTCTTTTGTATAGGGTATAGCTATATAATTTAAAGGTATGACATCAATTAAAATTATTTAATGCTTTACAACGTTAATCAAGTACGAAAAAAAGCATACATCTCCAATCTGGAAAGAGAACGAACGGACGCAGAGACTCGTTTCAATCCAAAACCAAGGCATTTAAAAAATTAGAATAGGAAATTAATTCGCCGCTGTCAGCATGATGCTGCGATCGCTCATTGCGCTGCATCCTTACCTGAACCGGTAGACAGGCCGCTATCTTCTTGTCGATGTTGCGCATCTGATCGCCGGCCTCGAATATCGGCAGGCCCATCAGGATGCCAGTCTTGGTCGCGCATAGGCGGCACAGGTAATCGAACTCCTCGACGACGGCCATGTCGACGGCACCGAGGTTCTCTCCTTCCAAACGCGAGTCACCGACGGCGGATGACGCGAGACGAGGGGCGGGGGAAGTCCTCTCGTTCCCAGAGAGCGCGGCGACGATTCGCTGATTCCGCGTACGCGCATCCCTCACGGCGACGTGCCGCGAAATGTCACTTTAAAACGCGTCGCACCGTCAATCCGAATCAGTCCGCGCTACACCATCGGGAGAACTCGTTCCATGACGGTCAGGCTGTTCAAGGCAGGAGTCCAAACTCCCCTTCCCGGAAAGGTTGGAGTTGTCGGCGTCGCCTTCCGCGGAGGATCAGACTCGGAGCGAACTAAAGTCAGTCACGTGACCGAGTGATGGGAAGTCGCGCCAAATCTGAATCGTGTAGGCACGCCACACATATGTATTTTCAGGATCGATTTGTACTTTGAAATGAGGTGAAAATTAAATACAAAAGTGAATTAAAAAATTCTTGAATATTTAACAATTTCAGAATATTTAATTTAGAATATTTAATAATTTCTCATTAGATATCTGCTGCGTTGCTTCCCCGTGCTAATGTTATGTTACATCTCGTTTAAAGAGAAGCCGGATAATTTTCTTATTTTAAGAGTATCATATGAATGTCCTCTTTTATTAATTCATGTGAAAGGGATTTTTATTTTAAATCTCGCGCCACACGCAGTCGCTTTTTTGGATTCTCTTCTTCTTTCAACGACGAAAAGTTAGTTCACGAATTTAAATGTTTGAATTTTAATATTTTTTCATATTTAATTATTTGAATATACCACTTTTCGATTTAGGTCGCTTCTTGTACTCCTCCTGGTTTTTTCGTAGTTTTTCGTTATTTCTCATGCAGGAAGTTGCGAGCGTAAAGAGATGTGAAGTTGTGATTTGTGAACTGTATGCAACTGCATGGTGGAACTTGGTGGAACTGTGAGTTTTCGGCGTGTATCCTTGAATTGCGAGTGATTAGACACGGCTCGTTCAAAACGACATTGAATCGGAGGAATTCGACGAGAATTGTTCTGCGTACTCCACAGAATACACTTACAACGTCGCACGACGTTTACCCGCTTTATCTGCTGCAAGTGCGACTGTGAATTCGTCGCGGACACCGGCGAATGGAGAAAGTTAGGTTAGGTTAACTCGTGGCGTTCAGTTTGCAGCTGACGGATACGATGGAGAACGCACCGCCTATCAAAAGTAACAATCCTGCTCCTACAGTAGACCAGATCAATTCGGACAAGATCACTCAGGTATTTATTCTTAATGATCTCGCTGATGTTTACTGCAAATTGTTGAAGATGTGATCCCCACAATTTTGTGATCAGGCAAATTTTCCATTAATTATTGCTGTTATTTTTGTTTTAAGATGTTATACTCCAAATTTTGTGGCCAGGCAAATTTTCTAGCAATTCTTGCTATTATTTTGTAGATTTGGAATCTGTGTAATTACATTGGATATTTTCCGTTTGATCATTTGTATATCATGTTGGAAAGCACTCTTTGTCCATTAAATGGAAAGCATCCTCTATTTATTTTGGCAATCAGTGAGTAACAAAGAGTGCTTTCCAACATGATATACAAATTGTTATAAACATCATTTTATCTTTCTTCACATTCAGTGAGAAACAAAGGTAGGATGACATTTATATTGACTTGTGTGTCACTAAATAGAAAGTACCCAAAAATAGAATTATTGTTGTGTTAATTTTTGCTAAAATGGAAACTTATGTGATTCTCAATCAATACTAGAAATTTAAATGCCTATTACGGTCGAAACTGGATCTTTGTTGCTTTTTAAAATAATTCAATCTTGAATTACTAATATATACTATATATGTATTTGCATATATACCATATTGTAGTCTTTTTCAC